TTTTTTTTTTTTTCTAGTTAAGTTGCTTTGAGTTTAAATTCTGTTACTTACAACTGACAGCTTCCTGGCTTTGGTTAACAAACTTACTTTGGTGAATTTAGAGGAAAACATTATCTTCTAATAGCCTTTAAAATAAGTAAATAACTATTTGGTCTACCAACATTTGTGAAGCATTTATTTTATGTCTAGGCATGGGACCAAGAATTATGGAAATATGGCACAACAGAACCTAATCATTGCTATTAATGCAATTGGGGAGATAGATGTAAACAAGTATTTTAGTATAAATTATAATGTATAATGTTCACAATTATTAAAAAATGCCAGAAGCATCAAAAACTGATTCTCTGTGCCCAAAATGGAAGCATTTCAGGAACAGCCCAAATAACATTTCTCTACCGTATGGACTCTGTCCTAGATATATATTTCTAATGAAAATAATTGTTCACACTAAAATATGCAGTTCAGGTCCATTTATTTTAAAATTTATGTATTTTCCCTAGGCCTTTCACTGGTATTGGAGCTACTAGTGAGAAAATTATGATACCTCTGATGAGAATAAGCAATTTCTTAAATATATATGGTAAGTTATGTGAAATATTTTAATTTTTTAACTGTTATATGAATCTAGCAGGAGTTTGGCTAATAAAACTTTCTGAGTGATTCTTTCCACATCATTCTTCCATGAGTATCAGTAAATTCTATTAACTTACTGTCTCATCATGATTTTTTACTTGTTTTCCTTCCATTTACTACCAGAGATTCTTCCAAATTTGACTTCTTTCCTCAGATAGACCCTCATTCTCAGATGATGACTTTGCTTCCCATTCTGCTGAGACCATCAAGTCCTGTGGCTACAATTGTCTCCTTCTCCCACCTTCAATATGAATACAACCTTCCCTTCTATTTCCCCATCTCTGTAGAAAATAATTGACTCTGCTGGCTGAGGCTAATCTCTTCCCCTGTGTCCTGGGTCACACCTTGTCCTACACACCTCTCTTCCTCTTTTGTGTATCTTTAATCTCTTTTTTCAGCAAATAAACATACACAAATTTCTTTTTTTATTTAAAGAATAGTCCTCAATTGTTTCTACTTCTTCTATTAACTTCCCAAATAACCATAATCTGGCTTCTATTTAATACTTTGCTCACTCTATTTAAAAAACATAGCTCAGGTCTTCAATCACCTCTATTGCCAAAGCCAATGGACACAACTTAATGTGTACAGTATGTGGCCTCTGTCAACCAATTCTTGGCTTTATGTACACCAGTGTCTCCTGTTATTAATCCTCTGAGTCCTCCTTCCCATTCCCTTTCTCAGTCCCCTTCTCTTCTCTTCTTCCATGGCTCATCTTGTAACTATCATGACCGCCTAGCGCTTTATTCTCATTTCAATGGTCATCTCATACTCTAAGCTTGCTGGTCAACATTGTACAAATCTAAGTTCTTCAATTATAGGCTATACCACAAGGACTACCACATCAAGGACTTAATTTTCTGAGGCAACATGGACTGCCAAATTAAAACCTTTTGTGCCAACAGTTTTAATGATTTCTAGAATCCTCTGGATAATATAGGAATTTCAAATTAAAATACGTATAATGATATCCAGAATCTCTCCTTGGATGATATATAAACTTGAACTCATCATTTTTTCCCCATCACTGGTGAACTCACCCTTTCCTACTACTAACATCACTTGGTCATACCTGGAATCCACTCAGACTTGTCTGTTATCCACATTCATTCAGTCCCTACCTTCATTCCTAATGGTTCAGAGTGAAGTGCCGGAGAGGTGAGACTACAGAGGCAAAGTCAGAGTTTGAAGACCTTGTGAGCTAAGCTTGATAGTTTAACCAGAATCCTGAAATCTATGGGGAACCATAAAAGGATTTTAATCAAGGTCTACTTCAACCATATCAAGCTACTTGCAGTTCTGAGAATGACAGCATTCCCTTCCTTGTGGTAGCTCTGAATATACCAATATCTGTGATTAGAATCCATTTCTTCTCTTCTCTCACCCAGTACATGGCCTTTCTTTAAAACTGAACTCACCCTTTTTAAGGCTTCCTTGGGCTGTTCCTTACCCTCTTTCTGGGTTATTTGCTTCTTCTCTCTGTTTCTATAAAATGCTGTACATCCCTCAAGCATACAACTTACCAGTAGTATCCATTCTATAATCTCTGACTTACCTCTCTGTCTTTTCTTTTCAAATAGTCTATGAACTCCTTGAGGGTCAAGACTATTCAGTAGCAATCACAGAGCCTGGCATTATAGCAGGCACACAATAAATACAGAAACCGAAGCACAGAAATGTTAAGCAATATGCATGATTATTGATCATGTAGGTAACTCTCAGAACCCAGCCTCTCCCTATTTGGTCTTTTGCGTGGTTCAGTGGTGGTGGAAGTCTTTATGCCTTAGGTGTTAGGGGACATAATCTCCTTTTATAATTAAGTGCTTGAAACATAGTATAGATTATGATAGTGGAATAAAGAAGAACAAAGAAGAAAAAACAATAACTACTAGAAGAAGCATAATCAAAGCACTCAAAACCAAGCTTTCAGCCAGCCCTAAAAGGCTACTGGGGACCCTGGGCTGTGAACTCCAGGAGAAGCTTTAACAAGCCAGTAACTGCTTCTTCAGGAATCTACTCTCAGATATATAGTACCTGTGAGTATTATACAGATTTTTGGGGTTACTATTGAGGCCCAAGTTTAGACCAGAGAAATTCATTAAAACACGGGTTCACCCTAGAGACTTGGCAGGATAGGTCAGTTATTTTGACCCTATGATGATTTCTTCTCTCTTAAGAAACAGCTGAGTGTTTCAAATATGTCTTTAATTCATGGGTACCAGGAAATACATATTGGGGCCAATTTCCAGAGGCTCATGATTGAAATACCTTTCTTTCGACCAGAACCAACTACTAACTATCCCAGTAAAGGCTTAGAAAACAAAGCTGATTAAAAGACCCTATGTCCTCCTCCGCAATGCTGAATAACTAGTATTTGGTTCGGCTACCTAGCAAAGGATCCCCAGATGATATTGTTTTTTGTCTCAAAAAGGACTTTGTGGAGCTTAGCAAAAAGATTTACCTGTAAGCGTTCTCCATTTTTGAGCCAAGTAATTACAGGTGGGGGCACTGCATCCGATTTGCATTCCAATGTCACTTGTCTATTCCGTAACACAGAGAAACCTTGGGGCTCATCAGTTCCAGCAATATTAGGGGGAACTGGAATGAGAACAAATCCATTAAAGACTTCAAGAAATAAGAAGTAAAAGATCTACATTATCATAGGTGTTCAACAAATGTTGGTCCTGCTGTATAAAACAAGAGGCACAAACTTAAGACATTATTCATTTAATTTATAATGCAGATTATTATAAACAGTGAATTTTTTTGCATCATTCAGCAGTTTCATGTACATTAAATAATGAAATTCTGCCAACAACTACATGAATGAGTAGGGTGAGTAAGATAATCACATTGTCATTACCATTTAACAGATAAAGAAACAGAGGCACAAAGAAGGGGTCCCTTGTCCAGGTTCTACAATTGGTAATAATTTTCTTTGGAAAATGAGATGTGAAAACTATCAAAACAAGGGGTGGCCATTGTGATTTTACAGAAATGTATATATGCTATTTTTGATCTACAGAAATGTATTTTTCATGACTCTTTTATACAGAATTTATATGTGGAAATGTGGGGTTATTTAAAGCCCAGACAGTTTGCATTACCTCTTCATTTATGCTATGAGAATGAAACAAAGATCCTCTGTTTAGGTTTTCAAGTATTCCTCCCCACGAGGAGTAATTCTCCTTTCCATATCAAAGCAATATTTGGGTAGTCTAATTGGCCCAACTACTTAAGGAAGTTATTTGGCAATAAGTTTCAAAATCCTTAACTATGTGTATATGTACATGTGCACATGTGTGTAACCAAGCAAATGTACTTACAGAAATTTCTCAAAATAAAGGGAACAAGGCAACAGGTATGTACAACATAAGATATCAACAATAGTGTTGTTGATATTGATGAAAATACAGAAACATCTTATATACCCCCAAATGGGGTGAAAATGGGATGCTATGCAATTACTAAAAATGATATTATAAAAATATATTATTGACATGAAAACACATTCTACACACCATTAAGATAAAAAGCAAGTCGCACAATATATGTACAGAAAATGTATGTGTCCACTGTATGATCACATTTTGGGGACAAGACAGTGATGTGCAAACAGGTCTTATCCTTGTGTAGTGAAATTATGGATTATTTTTGTTTGCCTCATCAATTTATATTCTATTATTTTGAACCAATGTCAGTGAATTATTTTTGCAGAAACAACACCAGTAACTCAAAAATCAACTGAACTATTCCCAAAGAGCACTTGACACGTCAAATTAAGAATCAGATTTGCAAGATACATCATTTCTACTTTACAAACATATCTTGTGATGTGCTGTGGCGTTGACTCAAGTTTTATAATTATGCCTTCTAATTAGGTGTGCATCTGATTATAGGAAATGATTCCAAAATTACCATGCACTCTCACTAAATACTCTTTATCATCATCTCCGGCAGGACTGGATGCCAGGCAGGTGTATCTTCCTGTATCCTCCACCTGCAAAACCCAAAGTAGATGATATAATGTTAACATGTTAGTTTTAATCATGAGACTAAATACATACAGGTGTGTATGTAAAAAAGGCATAAAAAAGAAGTATGATGTAAAAATCCCCACGTAAAAGCAAGATATCATTAAACACAAAACTTTTATGTTAAAAATCATAAAGCAAATTTAAATTATTGTGCGTATAGTTAGCATTCTTGTATTGACCATTGACTGGCATCTATGTTATATATAAACCTATGTTTTAATAAGGTTTCAGTATTTTATCTAAGATTGTTTACAAGTTAGGGTATATTTAATGATACCAGAAAAAGTAGACACATGTACACACATACACACATATATATACACTCCAAAATATATACTCTATCTATATATATGTATATACCAGAAAAGGTGTATCTATATGTACATATACATATAGATAAATACACACACACACACACAGACACACACACACACACACACACATATATACATATATGGCCTAGCACCATATATAACAGACTACACAGTCAATGTTTATTAAAGAAATAAATATTCATGAATTTAAAAAGCACACTGAGTTTAATTGAAGTCTTCTTGAAGAAAATGAAATGTTTATTTAATAAGCATATAGTTGTGCATATAGTTAGTATAATATTAAAATAGTTAATAGTTAATATTAAATAATATATCAGATATTCAAATCAAACAAATCAATGCAACATCTTGACTGTACCTTTAATATACATGGCAAAACAAAGGGGGTACATTATGTAATTTGCTATAAACAGGGTGAGGCTGACAGTAGCATCTATCATTATCTGACTCTACAGCCCAAGTTATTTCTTTAAAAATCCCCCTGCATGTTTTCCACCGGAAGTCAGTCTTCATTCAGATGTCTGATATTGTGTAGAAACAATCCTTGCTTAGGTAGCTGGAGCATACTCTGGAAAACAGATGATCTTACTACTGTGAAAAATAAATTATGGAAAATAGAAAAATCCTAGCCTTGTTTATTTTCCTACTTGAACCTTCCTAGAATATTGGAATTTTTTAAATTCTTACATACAAAAGTGACTTTCTAGGTTATGGAAAAACTTATTGGTAGGTTATAAAAATTCTTTTAAAAGAAAGTAAGACTAGGGTGGTGCCTGTGGCTCAAAGGGGTAGGGCACCAGCCCTATATATTGGAGGTGGAGGGTTCAACCCTTGTTCTGGTCAAAAACTACAAAAAAAAAAAAAAAAAAGTAAGACTAGAATGTTTGGATAAACATATAAATAAAATTTTAGAACAACTCTCAGAGTCATTCAATTAAGAATTTAAGAAAATAATGTACCATTTCCTAGAGAATAATTTCTGAATTTCTCACTATTACCTTTAAATCACTAAAATTAACTCCCCCACCCAGGTCATTTGGCTCGATTTAATCAAATTTGAATCATCACTATTCTTAACTTTTGCCTACTCCAGGAGACAGTTCCTGACAATTTATGGCATCCTGGATACACTCAGTCATTATTTACAGTTACAGTTTCTAAAGTGTATTTTGTTACTAGGGTGTTTAAAATCATAAGTAAGCAGGTGTCTTTAGCTTTAGAGTAAGATTTTACAGAGTTGTTGACACGCATGTGGCTCTCAAAGGAGGGTAGTGTATAGTATATAAGGTTTTCCAAACCTATTTGGTCATAAAATGGCTGCCTTTCTTAGAATCCAACACAGACCTAGAGTTTGGTGAAAGATATTTTAGGGAATTCTCTTCTCTGACACACAATTTGGAATTGGCAAATCATCCACATCCACTATGTGCCAGGCATAAAGATATGTCCCCCAAAATACATAAAAAGACAAAGTTCAGACAAGTAAAATAAAATGCTGTAAGTGTTGTATCCAAAGTACATGCAAAATCAACCTCGGCACTTGATCATATTTAATTATCTACTTCAATGTTGTTTTTAATGGTTCTATTATAGTTTCACAACTAATCAGACATTTGTGTACTGTATTTTCATTTCCATTAGACAACTGGAAACTTCTCGAATGTTGAGATAGATCTCATGGATGCTCAACAATAACTAGAACATCTGTGGGGGTGTGGTCACCATTTAACATTCTATGAGACTTCCATCTCATTTGCCTGTAACCTAACTTTTCATTCTTGCCTTTAAGACCTACTCTACTACCACCTGAATGTCCCTTTCAAGCTTTACATTTAGGATTTTACTCCCCACACTTTCCTGTCTCCAGGATGTTTCTTATGTCACAAAATTCTTTTGCTTTCTTTTTCTGTCTGTTGAAATTATATCATTCAAGAATTTTGAATTCAGTTAGTGATTGATAGGGTTTAATCTGACCTTTTTTCTAAGTTACTGTAATATTTCAAATGGAGAAAAAAAGAGAGGAATGGGAAGTATATACTCCATGATGTCAGAAACAAACTGTGCTGAGGTCCATGGCTAGGCTCTCAAACCAGACCTGAGAGTAAGAACCAGCCCATCACTGAGCAACAGTGAGGTAAGCCCTGAATCTCCCTCAGCCCACGTCAGATGTGTAGGATAGGGAGGGAGACAGACACTGCCCTACAGAGCTGTCATGCGGAGGGTGGGTGTGATAGAGATCTCAGAGCTGAATGTAGCAAGGGCACAGCAGATAATTTATAATTGTTTACTCTGTTCTTCCAGTGACCTTTCTTGCTCTTTTCTCAGTAAAAGTTCTAACAAAATAGGATTACATAATTTATTTTGCATTCAAAGGAGATGACGTTTATAACAACAGCAGCATCAACAAAAATTCTATCTCACTCTGTTTTAAAGCATTTACTACATGCCTGTGGTACCAGTCTAAGCACAGAATGTTAAAC